CTTCTGCAATTCTGCTCCGCATCCCCCAGCCAAGTCATTACAGGCCTGGGCTTGCAGCCGCTGCTGAGCGATGGATGCCCTCAGGGGAGCACTGGGCTGGGGGGAACAAGCACTCGATGGTGTCACCCCTGTCCTGGCTGCAAACGGGGGTCGTGGCTCCGATGTGTTTGCAGGGATGATCTACAAACACAGCATGGCAATAGCAGGGGAAAAAGGGCTGGGCTGGTTTAGCTGTGTTTGAGCAATCCCATCTGTTGTCTGAGCTGCAGCAGACACTGGGGAAGGGAATATTCATGTTTGCACTTGGTGCCAAGGCTCTTCCCTGAGCTGTGAGGGCTGCAAGCGATCAGTCCCAGTGCTTTTACAGCTGTTCGCTCCTCCGTTCGGGCTGTGCTCCTCACAGGGCTGAGCAACTGTTGTTTCCAGCATGACATTACCAGTTTGACCAACCCCCAGGATTATCCAGCTGCTTGTCTCTGCCGTTCCCGGATGGCTGATGGCCGAGCTGCAGGCAGCCTCCTCTGCACCTTGCACCGTACTTGCTCCTGGCTGGAGCTGACCCGAAGCGCCCGCAGCCTCTCGGGTCGTCCTTCGATGTGAAAAGTCCATTTCTGGAAGGTATCGAGTGCCCCACTCCCAGGGCTGGGTGAGGACCAGCTTTGTAAAGCCAAGATGCTGGCCAGCACAGGAGGACGTGCTCCCCTGGGCTGTGCACGCCTTATCCGCTCCCCAGTGAGCATAATTAAGGGTTTCTCCGCGGCTGCTGAGGTCTTGTTCTTGGCTCTGGCTCAGGTGAGGGTGGATCTGAATCGTGCAAGTCGTTAGCAGCTCGGGTGGGAGAAAAGGCAGGGTGCACCCATGGGCTCTCAGGGGTGGGCCTCCTCCCCGAAGGTCAGCTTTTGTTTGGTCTTATTTTATGTTTTTTCAGTGGTGAGCTAATGGCAGGAGCTGGACCTAAAGGTGTGCCGGTGCCTGAGCGCAGCGTGCAATGAGAAAGCAACTGTGGCCGTGTGCGGGAGAGCATCCCGTGCCATCCTGGCTAGGCGGTGATGGCAAAACCTGCGTGGGCGTTTTCTGTGCTAGCCCCCATCCCGGAGCGCAGAGCCGCTCGGATGAAAGCTGGGGTGGAAGTGGCAAGACGGGAGCCTTTCCTGTGGGTTTGGTGGTACAGCGGCACAGCAGAAGGGCCGGCGCTGGCTCTGCGCCTGGCCCCCAGCCTAGCGTTGGGATGTCACCTGGCACTTTCTCCACGGCGCAGGTCAGCGCCAGGACAGCCACGGCTGCTGGGCGCGGAGGCGGCTCAGCCGGCATCTGCCACCGTGTCCCCAGGGCGAGCCAGGACCGGGTACTGCCCCGTGCCCTGCGGCTGCTGACCCTGCTGGGATGGGAAGTTTTACCCCGTGCTGCTGGGGCTGGTGGGGGGTGCGGGGGCAGTGCCGGCCCCACCAGGGCTCCTGCTGCCGCCTCGCTGCTCCCCATGACCCACGGGACGGGGACATGCGCACCCAGAGCTTGCAGAGCCTTTAAGCTCCTCCTGTGATGGGCTCAACAGAAGCGCAAAGGATTACGCCTGTGTCTGGGCTTGGATGAATGAATAACAGCATTCAGCATCCTTTTTGCGTGATAGCAGAGCCAGAACTATTTTAAGGCAGGAAGAAAGTTGATCAGGCAACAGCTAAATGAGTCATCACAGCCTAATTCTGCAAACGGGGAGCACGAGGCGAAGAGAAGCCCAGCCTGCACCCCACCATGCCCCGAGCGAGCCCATGCTCACACCTGGGCTGGCAGTCGGACACCAGCTTTCTTCTTTCCTTTTTGGGAAATCCGAAGGATTTTGCTTTTCCTGGTGTCTTCCCAGCCCCTCATTGACACCACAGAAATAAGGGCCAGAAACGTGCCGAGCCCCTTCCCCACGCTGGCAGCTGGGGGTCCCGCTGCCCTCCCCACTGCTTACCTGAAGATGTTGATGTGGACAAACAGGGACTGGGGAGGATCCTGCAAATACAACTACCGGATTATCTTTTAAATTAACTCCTGCTGATGTCGTGACTTGCTTTTCTCTGGATTTTAACTCATGCCAGTGTAGTGGTTTGCATTTCTCTGGATTAGCAGCAGGACTTTAAAAAATGGGCTTAAAAGCCTGCATTTGCAGTGTTTCACCGCCGTCAGCTCTGCCCGCAGTGGTGTTTGCCCGAGGGGCACGCAGAGTGGCCCTGGTCTGTGCCGGGGGCACCGGCTGCACCTCGGTTTTGCCGAGCGTGCCCTTCCTGCAAGCCCCGCAGCCTCCAGCCGTATTTCAGGGGCTGGGAATGTCCCAGCAATGCAATCCCTCGGAGTTGTTTGAAGCCAGATGTGCAGCAGAGCCTTTTTGGCATATAAGTATCTTGTCCCCATCCCTAATTTAGTTCATCTTCTGACCAGAAACTGTCAGTTACTCGGCGCGTTGCTGCGCTCAATCACGCTATCCAGCGTGGGCTGTGATTTCAATGAGTTGTCCCAGACTCTTGTGTCGTGTTGACTAACGCCTTCCCCAGAACAGAGGCATTTGCATCAGGAGGAGCCGGTCCCTCCCCGACGGGGCAGAGGGATTGCAGGGGGATTGCCAACGCCTGGTGCATGGTGGGCTGGGGGCTTTGGCTCCAGTAAATGGGATTTCCCAGCCTTCGTGGTTACAGAGAAGACCTTAAATATACACTCAAAGGTCAAACGCTGGGAGACAAAGACCCCCAACCACAAGCTCTTCTTGTTACTTTATAGATCTTAGGACTTTTAAATAGATCTGGGAATTTCCAAGCCCGTTTCCTGATTTTGGGGGCTGATTTTACTCTTTGAGGTTTATGGGCTAGCATGGCATCGCTGAGCTAATGGTTCTCTGCAGAAGCTCTCATCTTCATACTTGGATAATGTGTGTGTTTGCAGTGTATCCTATGTAACCTGTTTTCCCCTTGATGTCCAGGCTCTTTCTCCATCCTCTTGGAGTAGCCAGATCTTTTAAGGAGCGTGTGTACCCTGTGAATGTGTTATAACTCAATTTAATATGTGACTAAACCAGCCATGGAATATTGCAATTAAAGTATAATACCAGAGGTGCGAACAATGCCGGCTTTTTGCTATGAATGAGTCATGATAGCAGAGGAGGAACCGAGGAGCAGTATTTTACTAATTGACTCCAGCAGATTTATTTGTCCTCGGTGAATAGAGCTGGGCAGGGCTGTCAGAATTGTTCCTTCTCCGCTCACACAACACTGCTCCGCGCCTGGCTCCTGGCAAGCAGGAGCAGATCCTGGGGACAGAGAGCGACTGCGGGGATGGAGACGGTTCTCGGCTGAGTGATCTGTTAAATGCATTTTGTTAGCGAGCGGGGAGCGAGCTGGGGGTTCCCGGTGCTGTTTGGAAATGGCCCCTCGAGCCTGGCAGTGAACCTCCTGATGCTTTTCTATGGGTCCTGTCCCGTGTGGCGAGCGAATGCCACGGGGAAGGTGGGGTCCCTGCGGGGCCGTCGGTGCGTGCCTGGGGTCTCCAGCTGCCTTTCCTGCACGGAGAGGTCTGTTTGCAGCATGGGCACCCTGTGTCCCTCAGGAGCATCGGCTGGAGGGCCCCATGGCACCATATTCAGCCCGGGGGCTGCTGCCCTGAGCCGGGGTGCAGGGTCTGGCCAGGCGCCAGTGCCGGTGTTTGCAGGGGGCTGCCGTTCAGGTTTGCTCATGGGGCTCGTCCACGCATGCAAATGCATCCGGGATTACAAAAAAGCCAGGGAGGGAGAGCGGAGTGTGCCTGCGGAGCAGGAATCGTCCCCCTGTCCTCTGGAGGCATCAGCAATTCGTCTGGGTACTGAGCCAAAGCAGGGCTGTCCCTGGGGACAAAACCAGGGGTTAACCAGCATTGCCAAAATAAACCTTCTCCCAGAGTTTGTGCCAAGTTTCCCAGGTTTTGCAAGTGGGTTTTGCTCTCAGCAGCCTCTGGAAGCCCCTTGGAGCGGCTCAGGGCTGCGAGCCGGTGAGGCGGCCGAGGCCGGGCAAGCGCTGGGGACACGGCTGTCACGCGTGGCCTCGCTATGGGCAGGGGAGAGCCCGGGTGACCTTCAGAGGTGACTGCTCCGCTTAATGGCTTTGAATCTGATTATACCCTGTTTCACTAAGAAATGTGATTGGCACGTTCTTCTGAATTAAATACCATTTTAGGGACAGTTATCTTGAACTCTCTGCCTGCCGCTTAGGAAAAAGCCTTTGAAAATGATATTATGGATCAAAAGTGTTCCTGGGGTAATTCTGTTTCAACAGTGGCATTAATCCAGAACTGAATTTGGCCCTGCATTTCCAAATGAGAAGCAGTAGCTGTATAATCTGTTTATGGTTTTAAAGTGAATGTTAATCTTGGATTTGGTGGCTTTTCCCAAGGGTCGATTTGCCGTGCTGCAAAGTATTTTAGCCCCTTGCTCTGAAACTCTCCGAGCCGACTCAATTTTTTATTTTGAAGAGAGATTTTACTGTGTTTATAAATACATGTCAGATCTGGAAATGTTAAATCTGGGGAGCCCTCTGCGGTGGAAGTAATGCCATTTTTCTTACCTTGCATTTTGTTTATACAGCACCTGGCACGGCGCATCCGAGCTCCGGCGTGTCGGCCCCGCTGCGGGGACGGGCTGGTCCCACGGGGACGTGGTTGGATGGGTTGAATTGAATCGAATGTCCCCCTCTGAGATGGGGATCTCTTGGTACCTCTGGGTGCTCTGTCCCACGGGTGACTTTCTCCCCTCTCCCCTCCGCAGGTGGGAGGATGCTGCAGCGTGCGGGG